GGATTTCTTCTTTCAGTCCTATCTTAAAAAAAATAAAAATAAATAAACAAATTCATGATTTATTTTATCTAGTGCTAAATATTCTGTTTTTATTTGTATATTAATAAGATTAATTTAGTTTTTAGATAAAATGACAGTTTTAATATCCCAACATTTTTGATGCAAAAACAGCAACAGGCCTAAATAAAACTGTCAGAGGAACACAGAGAAAAAGAGACACACATCTTGCTATCTTTGTGAGGACTTCACACACACACACAGCGCTCACATCATCTCTGCCTCAGTCTGCGCCTGTTTTTTTTACACCAGGCAAAAAATGCATTTAAACCAGCTGATGTTAACTTTAGATCACAGTTTGAAAAGTACACCGAAGAGAACCAGCATCACGACTTTTATACTGCGGGCAGAACAAACGTGACCTGAGCAGCGTCTGTCTGGTTCACATGGTGGACGGCTACGCTCGCTAAAATGTAACAGCGAGAAAAGACCGAGAGGTTTTATTTTATTTTAATCCAGCAGGGAGAACAATGGAGGTGTTTTTTCTATTCCTCCTGTGAGCAGCTCCAGGATTTTTTAAAAGAAAAACAACGCGGACACGCTAATTACAGAGCGCCTTCAAAGTGAAAGTAAAACATGTCGCAGCGCTCCAGTCCGGAAAAGAAACAAACACAGCTGTTCTCTCTCCCCTCATATTCCAACACAGAGGGTAGAAACAGCTAAATTAGACAGTTAAAACACATTTACAGTTCATAACTCACCCTAATTGTTGTTAGCACTCTGTCTCACAACATTAGCAACCGCTCTCTCCCAGGGAGGGGGCGGACACATGCACTGCGACCCAAAGAATGGATCGGCCGAACGGACGGCCGTATCGGCCGATACCGATACAAGGAAAAACGCAAATATCGGCTGAAAATATCGGCCGGCCGATGTATCGGTCGACCCCTAGTCAGAACTGTGATGTCAAAGTGAGTCCCTTTGAAAAAGCTTTGAATGTTTGTTTATGTCCCAGTTTTCTCAGCAGCCTTGTGAAAGTTGCTGGAAAATTTGCCTAATACTGTCATAATTTTTATATACTGTACCTTCACCAGGTTTTAGTGCTGCGGTATACCAAAACACAGTCATACCGCCTAAGCAGAGCTGTGGGGTGCCAACCTCTGTTCGATAGAAAAACTCCTTCCTGCATTTTCTTGTGTCTGGTTTGCCTATGAAAAACACTAAATCCTCATTTTAATAGGGCGGTCTGCACCACCTTTGCACCTGTTTATCTTCTGTGCACGTAGTCTTTTAGCACAAGCTATTTTTTTTTTGAATTGCACGGCAAATTAGTACACCTTGATCAATCAGTCCCTTAGTTTAAAACACTGGCAAGAAAATTTTGGGTGATGTACATTTCTTCAACAAATTTCTAGGTCTTTAAATAGAAAAACATATACTGTTAGGATTTCAAATTCATTTCATTTGCCTGGATGGAAGAACMTTTTTGAATTTTTAGCTCGTCAGAAAGCAGATTTGATGTGTTGTAGATGTCAGAGATTTGTAAACAGTGAAAGCTCACTGCCACGTTATTCAGAAGCTGAACTGTGAGCCGTGCTCCMACAGATTCAGAGAAAAACAATGATTTTAAGTGCACTCTCCAGCTTAAAAGCAGGGCTAAACTGGGTTTAACTTCCTCGTTTTTTATTTCTTTGAAGACTCTCTTGATCTTAAATTTAGTAAGAGAAGTGGTCTGGACAAAGCATTGCACACGCAATGATGTTGATTCTAATGGTTTTTGCTGAATACWACACCTCCCCTCTGTTTCTCTGCAACAGCTCAACCTTTAGAGCCTGAAATCATTAACTTATTCATAGTTCTCAGTTAAACCACGATACAGAGAAAAGCGTTTAAAAGGAGAACAGTCTTTCAGGCCTTAATGACCTCTCCAAGCTCACTATCAGCCCATGAACCTCTCAGTGTATTAAAAAACACTTAACTGCATATTTCCAGCTGGGTCACTTTAAAACCTTCAATTAGACTTATATTCAATGTTAAAACAAGCTGGTATTTATGTACAGTTTGATTTTGTTGCAGTCTACTTGAMATTAGTAGGCTTGTAAAGCAGCAACTCACAGTAAATGTAACCGCTAATTGTCGATGTGTTAAAAACAGCATGAAGCTAAATTCTGTTTTCACCATACTCGAAACATATTAGGTTAAACACCTGTGGGGAGCAGCGTCTGTTATTTGTTCGCTGAGTTTACTCTTTATTTCCTTGTGTTTTATTATCTTTGTGTTTTTCTTGTGTTTTCATTTCCCCAGTGTTTCTCTCCCTCTGTTGCTCTGCTCCTGCCCCGCCCACCTGTTCCTCTGCAGGTGTTTGTCATTTCAGTTGATTAGTGTCACGCTTTTATGTGTTCGGTCCTCCTGCGACTCCAGCAGCAAGTAGGAGAAACGAGAGTTATAAAAAGGAGCAGAAAAGAAGAAAGATTAATAACACAACTGAGATTTTTTTTTTTTACACACAGAACTGCAATACACACTTTTTTACAATATAAATTACACAATACAAGAAAATATGAACACTCTGGACAGAATGAAACAATGGAAAAAAAATCATGAAAATATTAAGGAAAAGTTTAACATGATCGACACACTATGAAGAAACTTATGGAGTGAACAGTTAAAAATAAAGAATAGAAATGAAACCATCTCGGACCACACTCATGGGAGGTGGCGGCAGTGCACACCTTCAGTTTCTTCCCATTAAAACCCACAAGAAGAAGACGACTCCAGCAGCGGAGCATTATTCTTCCATCGTGTCAATCTTCCCTGGGTTTTATTTGTGTTTTCAGATCATGTTCCTTTATTTTTATAATTGGTTCCCTTTACTGTCTTAGTTTAATAAATCCTACTTTTTTTTACCAGAGCCTTCTGAGTCCTGAGTCTTTTTAGGTTTTATGATTYAACAACTAAAATACCTTTTGAATCTAACTTTGTCTGTGAAAATGTTGTTGCATTTTATCTTGAAAGTAAATAAATGATTTTGTTTGTCATTTTGACCCATAAGCAGCAGACGGGTTAAGCTCTGGGTAATGCAGGGTTAGGGTTGAAAACTTGTACTATGGATAATTATTTGTCTTTTACCATTTTTGGTTCAACTTTAGTTAATACTTAAGATTTTAATCAGTCTAGATCAGTTCAGTTGCTGTCCTCTGTCACCAAAGGATGAGCACCCCCTAGTGGACAACTGCAGCGCACTTCCCTTAAACCCCACCCTTCCATGTAAAAAATAAAAAAACAAATTATTTTCTGAATAAAACATAAAAATACTATATTTTTTAGGTTTTGATTCACATAGTGCTTACTTTACTGCTGTGGGTTGAAATATAGTATTTGCTCTTATTTATTCGATGCTTCAAAAGCATGTTATTGACCTTTATACTAATCTGACAAATATCTTCATAACTATAACCCCAGTTCCAGTTGAAGTTGGGACATTCTGTAAAACATAAATTAAAACAGAATATGATTATTTTCAAATCCTTTTCAACCTGTATTCAACTGAATACACAACAAAGACGAGATATTTAAWGTTCAAACTCGTCAGACCATGGGACACTTACCCACTTTGTGTCAGTCCGTCTCAGATGAGCTGGGACCCAGAGAAGCTGGTGGTGTTTCAGAGTGTTGTTGATACACATCACTTCAGTTTCACTGGAGTTGGCATTGAAAAAGTGTTAACTTTATATTGTGTTATGTTTTGTCTTGCTAGCAAATTTGCAAATAGTTTCACGTCTTAGAAAATCGAAACCGATTAAAAAGAAAAACAAATTCCTGTTCAATATCTGTTCTTTTGTGGCTTCTATTAGACTGTTGTTTTTAACATTTTTAATTTTAGTCTGAGTTGTTAWCCAAAGTTTGAATTAAACAAACCAAAGAAAGAAACAAATATCAAGTAAACATTTCAGTCACAGATGTGGGGAAAAAAATTATGCTTAAATGTTCATTATTTAATTCATTTCTTTATTTTATCTCTGCAGGAAACAGGAGCTGCTGAACATCTCCAACGTCCCACTGGGAGAATGTCCCCCCTCACCACCCCGCACTGCACCACCCAGCATGAAGGTACACACAAACACACTCACACACATCCTTGTATTTGCATCAAACTGAGGACTTTGTATTGACTTCCATTCATTTTTGTAACTGTATTTATGTCTAACTCAGACATTTTACCTAAAATTAACCATTACTGGTCTATAGTTAACACTAACCTGAACTTAAYTCACWCCATACCTCTAAACCTAACKARTAAAATTAACCATTACTGGTCTATAGTTAACACTAACCTGAACCAGAACTTAATTCACACCATACCTCTAAACCTAACTAGTAAAGTACAGCAGAACTACAAACAAAGTGAGGACCGGGAAAATTATTAAATTAAATGTCCTCAATTTCCATCAGTGACCTCACTTTGTTGATTAAAAACCTGGCATTGACCTCCATTATTTTCTGCAGCCTAACCCTGACCACCAACCCTAACCCTAACCTAACCTCACAGAAACCTACCTGATCGTAAAACTAACCTAAACTCAATTCCTTCCTCCACACCTTAGTCCTAAACTTATCCCACGAACCACCAGCGGCATTTCCCCCAGACTCAGGTCACCGTAACATTAGGTCATCACAAGTAGTTGTGTATGCAAAAAAACTGTCCCACAATGTAGGGAATACCAGTACACACACACACACACACACACACACACACACACACACACACA